CCCTCCTCGTTTTCTTTTTCCCCCCCTTTGCGTCATTTTTTTCCCGGAAAGCGGAGAATGACAGAAGTTTGCACACACATATATATGCATGCGGCAGCGCCTGCGTGCATGGCACGTGACGCGTATTTTGTTACTATTTTTCGTGGGCACCCCGACCCTTCATGAGCTCAGCTGCCAAAGTCGTACTTCGGAAGTTGGGAGGAAGACTTGGTGGTGCTTTCCTTCGGAGTGCTATCGGGGCCGAAGTTGTACGCTGGAAGCTGGCGCGTGCTACTACTGCTGGTGTCGCGCAAGTGCGGACTCCCCGAGTCAAAGGTGAGGGCGGGAGTCTTTGCCGCCGCCCCTTCTTCGAGGCCGTTGAAAAACGAGGGGTCTTCAAACTCGATGGTGAAGGGCTTTGCGCCGGCGGCGGCGGTTGGGCGGAAGTCATACATGAAATCATCATCGACAGCGACCACCTCCACAACGGGCGGGGCAGCCGGGTGGGGCTCCGTCTCGTGGGCGTCCATGGAGAAGATGGCGTATCCGCCGCCAGCGGCGGCCTGCGTCAGCCCCGCGTCCGCGTCCTCGTCTAGTGGGGCGCCAAAGTCAAACTCAGGCAACTTGGGCTTCTTCGTCTCCGGCTCCTTCGGCGGCGAGGGGGCGAACATGTCACTTCGCAGATCGGACATGAACGGATCCACGTGCTTTTCGGCCACTTTGGCCTCTTTTGGGGTCGCTGCGGCCTTCTCCGCCTCCTCCTTGGTCGCGGAACCGCCAAAGTCACCCACCGACGGGAGCCCCTTGGCCCCAAGCATCTCTTCCTTTTGCGGCCGCGCGGGCCCCGCCGCCCCGCTTGAGGCCGCCGGCTTCTCCGGCGGGGCGGCGGGTTTAGCGGCATTCGACAGCGCCTCAATGAGTTGTTGACGCTCCACGGCGCCGAGCTCTTTTTGAGAGGCCGTCTCCTGCTTCTGCGCCTGTGACGGCTCTGCCGCTAGAAGCGTCGCGAGGTCCGTGAAGGTGTCCTCCGTCGGCGGATTTTTGCTACGCGCCCACTTCAACACGTGAGTGCCGGCGACGTTCATCATGCGGCGCACCTGCTCCTGCAGCTGCGCCTCCTCGGCCGCCAGGGCGCGGAGCCGCTGGCGGATTTCTTGCACCTCGCGACCAACGGGCGTGGCCTCCGTGCCTTTGCCACGCACCAGGCCCTCCAGCGCGGCACGCGTCTTCAGCAGCAGAGCAATCTGCGACTGCAGCCCTTCCACCTTATTCTGAATGGCGCACAGTTCATTGGTCACGTCCGTGCGACCCTGCAGCCGCCCGAGCGACTGCTGCTGCTCCTCTAGCGTACGCACTTGGCCCGTCAAGGCGTCGATGCGGGTGTTGATGCGCTGCAGCCGCTCTCTTGCGCCCTCCGTGTCCGTCACCGCCGCCTCGGAGATGTCGGCGGTGAGGGGGAGACCGCTGGTGAGGGCGAGCTGGCGCAGGTAGGCGGCCACCTCCCCCACGTAGTTGGCGCGGTGCCTGCGGGAGAAGGCGAGAAACTGCGCCCCCACGACGCCCTCCACGCGTTGCTTCACCACGGCGGCGGCCATCCCTTCCACGCCGGCGAGCGAGCGACGCCGCTCCTCCAACTCCGCCAGGCGCCGCTCCAGCGGGGAGGCCGCGCTTCCCGCCGGCTCCCCCCCCTCCCGGCGGCGCTCCAGCATGGCCTCGAGCGAGATCAGCAGCGTCATCGCCTCGCCGCGGGTCATCCGCTTGATCTCGCCGCTCCGCTCCCCACCGGCAGAGTCCTCCTTCGCGGCTGCGGGGGCGACGTCGCCGAAGGAGAGCGCCGGGTGCTTTTCGGGGTAGACGAGGAGGGCAACGACCATCTGGGCGGGGGAGCCGTTAATCTCGAACATCACTCGGCGCCGCGCGGAGGCCGTCAGGCTGTGCAGCCCGAGCAGCTCGGCGCAGTCCACCTGCGTCTCCCCGACGACCCGCCGCGGGCGCCCCCGCACGTACTCCTCCAAGCGGATGGTGATCCACTTGGGCAGAAACCGCGGCCCGCCGCTCTTGAAGTGCACAATGGCCGCTCCCTCCGGCATCGCACTGAAGTCAACGACGCCGCCCTCCGCAACGTAGCACGGCGAGGAGCGGGAGGTTTCGCCGCGGCGGTACGCGACGGTGTACTGTCGGCCGTCCTGCAGCTCCGCCGACTCCACCTTCAGCACCTTGAACCGGACAATATATGCTTCCGGCATCCCTGGCGACAAGTCGGCCGCAAGAAAAAAAAAACTCTCTTGCCAGCGGGGGCCCCACCCCGCCGCAGGGAAATATGCTCGCCCGAGCCGGCTGCTCTTGCCCCCCCAACTTACTACCTCCCTGCCGCAGAGCAACAACTCTGCTTCGCGTGTGACCAACCCGCAGGCAGGTGCGCACGGAGGCGTATATTTTTCCTTCGCTCTTTCCCTGTGCTAACCACCGTGTGTAGCCTCTTCCACTTTCCTCCTCCTCTCGCCGCCCCTCTCCGCTCGGCCGCGGCGAAAAAAAAGCAAAAAAAAAGCGGGGAGGAGAGCAAAGAGCTCGGTTGCCGCACGCACGGCGCCCAACAGCCAGAGTATCCACTGAAAAAGGCAAAAAAAAAACAAGTCCACAAAAAAAAAACGAACCACCGCCCGATGGCCACTTCGCTGGCATGACGTCCGCCCCACCCCCAGCAGCACCCGCGTCGTGTTTCTTCTTGTCATTTTTCTGCCTGCATTTCGGCCCCCGTTGTCGCCGCACCGGCGCCTCCTCACCGCCCACTCCACACAAACTCCCTCGCAGTGTGTCTGTGGAGTGGGCGGTGAGTCCAAACGGCAAGGCACACGCGCACGCAAAGGGCAAATGAAGAGAACACGAAACAACAACATAAAAAAAGTCATCGGCCCCGTTTTTACATGCGGGGCACATGTGTGTCTGTGGGCCTGCCGCCGCAGATGTTGCGAGGGAGTTTGGGTGGCCAGCGGAAGGGCCCCACCTTCGTGACAAGCATAACAAAATGGGGATGGATAAAAAACAGCAAACTCTAAGAGCACGAGAAAAGTAACCAAAGGCGCCCCCCCCCGCCCCCCTGTTCTCCCCCAATCCCTGCTGCCCGGGGCACGACGCCGCAGCACACACGCGTGCACGTAGACAGGCAACTGCGTGCGTGCAGTGCATACGGTGCATGCAATGCCAATGTGACCAAAGTCGTGAAAAATAAACACCGAAAAGCAAACGCATCTCGGCACCCAGAGCTGGAGTTGCAGGGGAGACGAGAAACCGACGCGCCCCACTTTACCCCCTTCCCCCTCCGCCGTTTCCCTGTTCCTAGTGATGATTGCGACGTCATTGCTCCTTCCACCACCCATCTCCGTGCACCCCTTCCCGAAAATAATAAAACAAACAAACAAATATTCCTCCGGCGATTTTTTCGTTTTCTTTTTCCTCTCGTTTACTTCCCTTGCTCCTGTTCCCCGCAGGCACCCCGCCGTGCAAAACCCCCCCACCACGCGGGATGCGCTCCCAAAACACTTTACTTATTATGTTCGTTTTTTTTTGTATTGACCTACTGCTGTTATGCTTTGTGGGTGTTTGGCGGGCAACAACCGCACCTCACACCACTCGCCGGCACGACGCCAGCCAGATATTCTATCGGTATGTAGAAAGAAAGATATATATATATATATATATATGGTTTCTTCTTTGCGGAGTGAAGAGCTTGCGCCGCGGCCAAAAGAACCACAAGGCGAGTTCAGCGAAGCGGCCGCGCTCCTCACCACTACCCCCTTCACGGCATCACTACGAGCCGTGGACGCATCGTGCTTACTTTGCTGACATAATGTACCCCGTCGCATGCATGCGCGCGTGCGTGCGTGCGTGTGCGTGGGGGCCACACATGCGTATACATACAGTCACATAAAGAAACGTACACGTCGTGACGTGTGCGTGCGTGTGTGTGCTCGCGCGTGGAGAGGCGTGTGCACGCCCCCACCTCGTCCCTTCCATCCGGTGTGAGACGAGGCGTAAGAGAAACCACACGAGGAAGGCGAGCGGCAGATTTTGTTAGTCTATTTTTCCACCTTTTCGCTCTCTTCTTTCCCTGTGTGCTTCCCTCGCCTCCCCTCCCCAACCCCCCACCCCCGCGTCTTTGCCGCGCTGCTGGTCGCCCCGCTGTGGGGCAAACCGCAAGCCGCAGAGTCACCCCCCCCGTAAACGCACACACACACACACACGCAGAAAAACTTATATGCCGCCTCCGCGTGTTCTCCGCGGCGCGCCCCCGCCCCCACTTTGTTTTTTTTTTCATTCGTGTTGGTGTTATTTTTTTCTTTGCCCTTTTCTTTTCCTCCTCTGAGTTTTTCGTTTCATTGCAACTTCGTTTATCCCTCGTCCATCGCGTTTTTTTTTGTTGTCGTGGTTGTTTCGCTCGCCTGCGTCCGTGCGGTTTGCCGTCCGCCCAGCGGCAGAGCGGCGGCGCCACCGAGCCGTCGCCGCCCGCGGTGCGCGTCGGTCCGCCCCAAACAAAAGACACGCCGCACACAAACAAACAGAAATAAATAAATAAATAAAAAAACAAAACAAAACAAAACAAAACAAAAACAAAAACACGGCGCAGAGTAAAATACTCGGAGTAAAAATAACGGGGCGCAGAGAAGTGGCAGCCGCGGCGAGGGGGGTTCAGGCAAACAAAACAACAGTCATTTTTAGCGGCGGAGGCGATCGGTTTCATCCCCCGCCGCTACTGCCCCGCCCCGCCCCAGCGACCGCCACACACACACACACACACACCGCCCCGCCTTTGGATGAAAGGCGCATGGAACAGCGCGGCGAAATTACAACCCGCAGGAAGAAAAAAATGATGAAAGAAAAACAGACAAACAAATACAAAGCCACTGAACCCCGAAGATAAAAAAAAAGTGCGAAAAGACAAAAAACACAAATGAGAAGTGCCGGGCGGGTTCAGAAAAAAAAGAAATGTCTATGATTTTTCGTGGCTGAACAGTCCCCATCGCTCGTCGGTGTCGACGGCCGCGGAAACGCCGCCACGAAGTAGGCAAACAATGCCCGTGCACACACAACACCCCAACGCCGCATGGAACTCCTGGACAAAATATATATATATATATTAAAAAAATAAAACAACATGCGTAAAATATTTTTGCCTATATATATATATATATATTTACACATATATATATATATATA